TCTTGAGCTCACTTTGTAGCCCAGGCTGGCCTCGAACTCGCAACGACCCTCCTGCCTCAGCCTCCCGAGTGCTGGGAGTACAGGCATGCGCCGTCACGCCCAGCCATTCATTCATTTTATTCGTCCATTCATTCCTCACCACCCCATTTGTCCCTCGCTCCTTCATCCATCGCCTGGTCACCGGTGCCTTGCGAATCCCTCTCGCTGGGTATTCACCTGCGTTCACGCAGTCGCGTCCTTCCTCCCCGCTGATCCCGTGCTCACCCGCGCCTCCCCTCGATCGAGTGTAGCTCACTCATCCCTCGCTAACCTGTTCTCTCTGTCACCCGCTCAGTCAGGCACTTTTCGCTTACTCTTTCCTACTCGTTCACTCATTCGCCCCCAGCTCGTCCGTTCATGCACTGCCCGCGCGTTCATTCATTCGTTCCGCCGGAGGCGCCCCTTTTGCCTCTCCCATTGTGGCGTCCCAGGGAGGAGGAGGGCACAGTCCCGGGGATGGGGCCCCTCTGCGGGCCTGACCGCCCTTCTCCCACCCAGACACGGACGAGTGCGCTGCGGGGCAGCCCTGCGGGGAAGGCACGTGCACCAACGTCATCGGGGGCTTCGAGTGCGCCTGTGCGGACGGCTTTGAGCCCGGCCCCGGGGCTGCCTGTGAGGGTACGAGGCTGGCTGCCTGGGGCGCGGGGGCCGTGTGACAGGGACACCGGGGCCCCCCTGGGGAGGAAGCAGGGGTCCCACGGGAGACCTCACTGGCAGACGCCTCTGGCGGCTTCCAGACATCGACGAGTGCTTGCTGAACCCGCTGCTCTGCGCCTTCCGCTGCCGCAACACCGAGGGCTCCTATGTGTGTGCCTGCCCGGCTGGCTACGCCCTGCGCGAGGACGGGGCCACGTGCCGAGGTGGGCTCCGCACAGCGGCGGTGGGCGGTGGGCGGTGGGCGGGCCCGGGGCTCTCTACCCTCGGTTCCTTGGTCCCCGCTGCGCAGAGGTAACTTCCGGGGCCCAGACTCCAACAGACTGAAGTGTGGGTTCAGCCCCTCCACTTCCTGTCTGTAAAGCAGGAATGAGAGCTGGAGCCCCAGGGTGCGAGGAAGCATCTGGGAGCCCTTGGAGCTGAGCCAAGTGAGCTTACGGAAGGTGCTACGTTGGAAGGAGTCACTCTTGGTCCAAAGAATAGGCATGTGTGCGGGGCGCGGTGGTGCACACCTGTCATCCCAGCACTCAGGGGACTGAGGCAGGAGGATCTCTGCTAGTTCAAGGGCAGCTTAGGCAACCTAGTGAGCTAAGGCCAGCCTCAACTACAGAGTGAGACCCTGCCCCCGCCCCGATAAAATAAAATGCAGTGGACCACTGGCATCTTGGTCCAGAGTCTAACCAGGGAGCAGAGTCTGGCCCTGTCCTAAGTGGGGCAGGACAGAAGGGGCAGTGGTCGTGCCTCCCAGGGGCCATGTGGTCATCTCTGTGACATTTTTACTGTTACAGTAAGGGAGGAGGCACTGACATCCTGCAGCGTACACAGAGCCCCCTCCCACCACTGCCACGAGGACTGCCTTGTCCCAAATGCAGTGTCAAAGGCGAGAGACCCTGAGGCTGGCACGTGGTCCCCGCAGGGCTTATTCTGAGCCCCAGTTCCAGGGGCCCTGCTGATGGTCTGACAGACTCTCAGACCCCCAATGTAGGCAAGGGAGGTGGGGTGCATTCTGAGCCCCTGGGGCTGGCCGTGTCCTGGGGCTCCCTTCCGGATGGGACAGACTCCTGCCAGGACGACAGAGTCCCTGCTGTGGTTCCACTGCGGCCCCGGAGGGCGGATCCTGGGGCCGCACTGTGGAGCACCTGGATTTTACTGACCCCTGCTCCTGGTCATCCAAAGATGTGGACGAGTGTGCAGACAGTTCCAAGGACTGCCACAGCCGTGGCATGCTGTGCAAGAACCTCATTGGCTCCTTCACGTGCATCTGCCCTGTCGGCATGCGGCCCCAGCCCGGCTCCGGGGAGGGCTGTGCAGGTACAGGACGCAGGGGCTCCCGTGGAGGGAGGACATTCAAGGCCGTGCAGCGGCTGGCTTCAGGCTCTGCCCACCCCTCTGGCCTGCTTCTTCCTTCCCACCTTAGATGAGGACGAATGCCATACCCAGCCCAGCATCTGTATCCACGGTGAATGCGTCAATACTGTGGGCAGCTTCCGGTGTGACTGTCAGGAGGGCTTCCAGCCCAGCCCGACCCTCACTGAGTGCCACGGTGAGTGTGGCCAGGCAGGAGAGAGGTGGACACCTGTCCCTGGCAGTCCCCAGGAGCTCTGGGAGGCAGGGATGGTGTCAGGGGCACCTAGGAGACCTGTAGGCAGCAGCCGAGCCAATCCAGACATACATGTCACTGCACATGTGTGTGCGTGCACACACGTGCACACACGACACTCTTGCTTTTGTCCTTTCAATCGAGCATCCCAGAAAACCTGTTGCCTCCCGCTTCCTGACCTGTCCCCCGTGATTCCTCCAAAGCCAGAAGCAGCACCCAGGAATGGGCCCTCCCAACTTCTCGCTTCGTGGAAGCTAAACGTGGCAGACGACCTCTGTGACCACATCTGTCTGTTCCATGTGTCTGTCCCTGTCCCCACACTCTTTTTTTCCTGAGCGAGCGTCCACCCCACAGCTCCGGGCCAGATGTGCTTATCCAGAGGCCTCCTGGACGCCGCTGTCCTCACCCCCCCACAGTGTCACTTGCCCCGGAGCACGCTTGCGATCTTTGTCCCCTCACAGCTCAGCAGCAGGTCCCTATGTGAGCTTCCCAGAGTGACCCATCTCCCACACCTGCGTCCAGTCTGCGTGTGGCTCCCTCACTTCCTGTCTGTGTCCGGATGTCATTTTCCTGCTGTCCCATCCCAGACACTACCACCTCTTGCCCCCCCCACGATGTCCTCTGGTTTCCCTGCCACCCCTCGACCATCCATTCTCTCTGTGACCAAAGGATGCTTCTCTTTGCCCCCAAGAGGCCATCCTGCCTCTGCAGTCCAGCCCAGGGCGATCAGTTTGAAGGTTGGGTGAGTTCGTTGCTTCTGCCCCAGCCTGCTGAGGGTGTTTCATAGTGTCCAGCGATGATTTCAAAGATTTCACCCTGTGCATATCCACAGGGATGTCCTGAACCTCAGGGTTCTCCTGCCCACCACCCCCTCCGCTTCCCTGCAGATGTCCGGCAGGGGCAGTGCTTCTCCGAGGTGCTGCAGGCTGCATGCCCAGTCCACTGGAGCAGGGGCGAGGCTGTGACCAAGGCCGTGTGCTGCTGCGGAAGTGGCCGGAGCTGGGGACCCAGCTGCGAGCTCTGCCCCTTGCCTGGCACCTCTGCCTACAAGAAGCTGTGTCCCCACGGCTCAGGCTACTCTGCTGAGGGACAAGGTGGGTGTCCTGTGCTTTGGCAGGTGCTAGAATGTGTGTCGTGTGTGTGTGTGTGTGTGTGTGTGTGTGTGTGTGTGTGTGCACGCATGCACGCACCTTCGTGACAGCAGGGGTACGAAGAGTATGTGTGCTCTGGTGTACATGAATTTGAGTGGCCAAGTGAGCAGATGTGTGAACCAGTGTGTGTGTGTGTTCTCTGTGTGTGCAAGCTCATTAGTGAGCACACAAGCGGGTGCGGCTGTGTGCAAGCTTGTTAACGGGCACGTGTCTCTGTGTTTGCACTTGCGTGCTCGATGGAAGGAGCACCAGCAGAGTGTCGTCCTAGCTCAGACAACCCACCCTGAGAGCAGGTCCCCGCGGGTGGAGATGCTGGGGACAGGCTAGTGGGCAGAAGGAACCCAGCCCCGCCCTGCCCTGCTTGTCCCCAGATGTGGACGAGTGCCGTGTGCTTGCACACCTGTGCCCCCACGGCGCGTGCATCAACAGTATCGGCTCATTCCACTGCCACTGCCAGGCCGGGTACATGCCAGACGCCACCGCCACTGCCTGCCTGGGTGAGCCTCTCCCCGACAGCCCGCACCCCTGGCCCAGCTGGGCCCTGCCTCCACTTCCTTGGCGGGGCGCTGCCAAGTTCGGGACACTTGCATCACATTTACAAACTATGCCCACCTCGTCAGGAGCCCAGGACACAAGGCCCACAGGCACAGCCTCCTGGGCGTCTCCCCTCTGTGCGGACTGTGTTCCCACTCTTCTTTCCTTCAGTCATTCTCCAGCAGATTCTCCTCTAAGTCACACAGCAGCAAACCCCCAGCCTGTGGGACAAGTCTGGCCTCCTGTTTGGTTTTGTAAATAAAGTTTTATTGGCACACAGCCGTGCCTATTTGTTTATTCTCTCAGTGGCTACTCCGTTTATATAAAGGTCGTTGATCCCTGCTTGGATACCAAAATCCAGGACTTACACACATTTTCTTTTCTGTTTTTTTTTTTGAGACTGGGTCTCACTAGGTAGACCAGCCTTGGCCTTGAACTCACAGCAGTCCTCCTGCCTCAGCCTTTGAGTGTTGGGAATTACAGGTGTGTGTCACCACACCCAGCTATGCACATTTTTATTTGCTTGTTTTTACTCATTTATTATTTATTTATTTTGTGGTGCTGGGCATGGAACCCAGGGCCTTGCACATGCTAGCCAAGTGCTCTACCACTGAGCCACAATCCAACCCTCCTGTATTCTTTAAACTATTTCTAAACCAAAGGTGGCTTATGCTTGTAACTCCAACACCTTGGGAGGCTGAGGCAGGAAGATTTCAAGATTGAGCTCAGCTTGGGCAGTTTGGTCACTTAGTAACACCCTGTCTCAAAAAATTTTAAAAGGGCTGGGGATGGAGTTTAATGCGAAGTCCCTAGGTTCAGTCCCCAGTGTTGCCAAATAAATACATCATCTCTAGATGACTTTTAACACTTAACACGACATGAATGCTATGTACACTGTCATAGTATTGTTTAGGGATGAGGTTAAGAAAAAAGTCTGCCTGTTCAACACAGACTTTGTTAAAGACTATTTTCAGTCTGTTGTTGGTTGAATGTGTGGGTACAGAGAGCAGACTCTGTTTATTACTCTGCTTTTCGTAGAAAAGGTGCCAGTTCCTGTGTACTCCACAGATTTGGGAAGGGGACCCTAGCCCCTGAGCAGCCCCCTCTATATCTGACCTCTCCACACTCGCCGTCCCCCACCCGCAGATGTGAACGAGTGCAGCCAGGACCCCAAGCCGTGTTCCTTTGTCTGCAAAAACACAGAGGGCAGCTTCCTGTGCTCCTGCCCCCGGGGATACCTACTGGAGGAGGACGGCAGGACCTGCAAAGGTGACGTCCTCTCTCTAAGATCACCCCACCCCGACCCCTCCCCACCTCTCCTGGGAGACCTTTCCCTGCGGCCCCGCCCCCGGGGCTGTGGCCACGCCCACTCCGCGCCCAGGGCAGCCCTGGCCCCGCCCCCTGAGCGCTCTGGCTTCTGGGCCGCAGACCTGGACGAGTGCTCCGCCCGGCAGCACAACTGCCAGTTCCTGTGCATGAACACCATTGGTGCCTTCGCCTGCCGCTGTCCCCCGGGCTTCACTCAACGCCGCCAGGCCTGCTTCGGTGAGTGCCTCAGCGCCCCCCTGTGGCAGGTGGCGCGCTACCCCAGCCTTCGTGCCCTGGGTCACCAAGGAAGTTTCAAGCAACCACCCGTGTGTGCCAGACGTCAGGCACAGGGGGGTGACCCGAATAAAGCGCTTCTTCCTCGGGGCTCATCTTGGTGGCATCTCAAACCTCCCTCCTTCCTGGCCCTGGGCTGTTGGGAGCCCCACCCTCAGAATTCCCTCTGGCCTGGGCCCTGGCCTCTCCCTTGGCCCCCACCAGGGGGGTTCACACTGTCTGAAGCGGAAGTTGGTTTAGAAGCCAAAGCCACAAGGGTCTCTGCCCCTATATTGTGGCGCCCAGGGAACCAGACCTCCTCCCAGGGTCTGGGCCCAGCTAACCCCCATTCAGACTCCCTGTTACTCATTTATCTGCCATCTGCTGAGCGCCAGCTTTGTACCAGGCAGTGCTTCCAGCCAGAAAATGCAAACTGCAGCCCACCAACCGCGTCCGGCCTCCGGCTTGGTTTTGTTAATAAAGTTTTATTGGTACACAGCCTCGCCCACTTTATCTATCATCTGTGGCTGGGGTGACAGTCCAGTCTTTCAACAGAGCAAAACAAAAGGTTACTACTCTCTGGCTATTTACAGAAACAGATCCCAGGGGTCCAGGAACATAGAGACCGCTACCGTCATGGAACTTCTAGCAGAGAATCAGACTGGACACAGACTTAATAAATATGTTAGAAGGTATTGAGAACATAAAAGTAAAAACAAAATAAAAGCAGAATTAAGGAGGTTAGGAGAAAAAGAAGGCTGCAATATTCAAAGAGCAATCCGCTAGCCAGGATAGTGGCTTATGCCTGTCATCCCAGCACTTGAGAAGCTGAGGCAGGAGGATCACTATGAGTTCGAGGCCAACCTGAACTGTATAGTGAGACTCTGTCTCAAAAAAAGTTTTATTTTATTTAGTTTTGTTTTCAGGCTGGGAATTGAACCCAAGGCCTTGTGCATGTCTAGTATACACTCTACCACTGAGCCACACCCTGAGCTGCTTATAACTCTTATCAAATTTATTTATTTTAAAATTTTTATTTATTTATTGTGGTACTAGGGACTGAACTCAGAGCTCTGACACTGAACTACATACCCAAAACACTTTATTTTGAGACAGAGTCTTGCTAGGCTGGGCTCAAACTTTTGATCCTCCTGTCTCAGCCTCCCAGAGGCTGGGATTACAGAGGTGCACCACCACACCTGATTTACTTTATTTCTGTTTATGTGTGTGGTGCTGGGGGATGCAGGGCCTCACACATGGTAAAGTACACACGTTCTCCCACTGAGCCACATCTCCAGCCCGTGAAGGGATTTTGATAATTGCCTACTCCCTTACCAGGAACTATTCCAAGCCCTGTGTGCAGTTAATTCAATCCTCACACACAAAAAAATGCCAAAAAGAGGTATCAGCCCCCTCCATGTTGTAACTCAGGAAACTGAGGCCAAAAGGGAAGGTCAGTCTCTCAGATCACACAGCTTCAAGATGGAGATGAGCCAGGCATGGTAGCACACACTTATTATAATCCCAATCCTCTGGGAGGCTGAGGCAGGGGGATTGCAAATTTGAGCCCAGGCTGTGGGAATTTGGCAACTCAGCAAGAT